AAGAAACTTACCGTCCCCGGAAACTTATCGACCCTGGTAATTCACCGATTCGTGACAATTTATCGTTCCTTGGAAGTTTATCGATCCTGGTAACTTACTGACTCTAGAAATTTTATCAACCCTGTTAACTTACCGACCTCCAGGAACCTAATTTACCCACTATGAATCAGGTGTTATTGTGTTATCCACTCTTATCGACGTAAACTGACACATTGAAGTTCTAACATTGATCTTAAAAAGATCATATAAAAAAGAATGTTTATGACCTTGATGTTGAATTAATATAAAATTTTAAAGAAGATTTTTAAATTTTTCGTCTGTTCGTCCATTAAAATCTTACATGATTTAGATCAGTGTAAGCCAGATCGGTTTCTATCTATAAAATATAAATTGTACGTAAGGACTTTACAATTTGATTAAGTATTATAAAAATTAGAGGGAATATAGAAATAATTTACAGAAATTATTTTGTCAGACCAGTGCGTTAGATTTAGAATTAAAAAACAAAAAAACATTAAAAATAAACAGGTGTTATACGTCAGTGTATGAACAAAATGTAATCCCTTAAGAGATAATCAACAACTATGTTTACTTACCTAAAACATTTTACCTGGAAGACAATAGATAGAAGAAATGAATCGATAAACATTGTGAACCATATAATATAGACATTGCAACGGGACAGAAAAAATGAGCCATTTGCAAAAACGGAGATGCAAAAAGACAAGAAAGCAAATGTGTAACAACACGGACAATAGAGCAAAGACAGTGTACAAAAAGACAGGTGCAAAAAGACTGACACTAATGAGCAAGACTGCACCTGTCAATTCTGCACCTCAAACCCTATATCTAAACTACTGCACCCGAAATTCTCCAATTGAAATACTGCACCTAAAATCCTACACCTAAAATCCTTCACCTTGCCTGCATTTCATTCCACGTAACAATTATTTTAATAACATCTTGAGTTAATCACATCAAAAGTAAATAATGGCAGTACTCATCTAGAAAATCTTTTACTTTTGACAATCAAAGAAATACAGCGCCTAATCAACGTAACGGATTTAATCATTCACAGCAGAACTCACAAAACTGTAATGACAGTCTCCTTCTTCCCACTTTTAGGGGAATAGGCGTTATTTTTTATATGCAGCCGTTATTGTGATATGCAGCCAACATGCGTAGTTCCCAAATCGATTGGATTAATGGTGGCGTCACACAAAACGGCACTACCGTCGGCAACCAAACGGACTGCGCATTCTACTACACCCAACGCTAGTGAGAAAGAAGTAAGGATTTAGTGATTTTTATTAATTTATTAATGAAAGAAAAGAGGCATTCACTTGTTGTTAAATCCAAATGCAAACAGAAGAATTAAAATATTTCAAACCCTATCATAGAAAACCTAAGCAAACTACGTCATTGATTATTAGTTTACTATCTTCTTCAATCACATATTCCACGCTTGTCCAAGTCGTAACACTAATGCCATTTTCAATTTATTAACTCGAGCAACATCCCGATATTCGCTGCAGTATTGCAAACTGTAGCAAATAGTACACTTAATATGAACTGTAGATTGCAATACTGCAAAGATTATTTGCCCGACTGCAGTCATGTGAACAAATCGGAAAAAAAAAATTCATACTGCATCACTGAACTTTAGTAATACTGAAATTGCGCAGCCTGTGAGATCCGAATTAATGCTCCGTCTAGATACACTTACATCTATGGCTTACATAACAACTGGAAACAAGTTGATGAGACATAACAATGGTAACCTCAGTAGTCGGTCGATCGTCTCCTGTTTATTATTAGGTTTTATAATTATTTTTTTTTATTTTCGCTTTTGTTTGTGCGCGAATTTTTAGTTCAGTTATTACATATTTGTTTGGTGACAATTCAATAGTTATTTCGTTATCTTATAATTAAGGATGAAAAACGCTAAAGTTAAGAATACAAGGTATGCCTAAAAAATCAGTCAATTCCTTCAAAGTCTAAGTTGTGTTATGCATATCAATCGGTCGTTTATAAAATTAAACATAAAATTACTCACTTGATAAAACATTTTGTATCACAGCTTCGTAACATAATGTTCTCTTTACAGAGCATGTTTGGAACATTTCAGCGACGAAGGTGGATATTTCGATGTTGTTGTACGACCAATGTTGCAACAAGGACACGAAGGAGAATTATGCAGCTGGTTGAAAGAAATGAGTCTTATTCGTACAGTCTCCAATTGTCCTAATTGTAAAGGACGAAGTTTAGCATGGAATCCTGCGAGAATCGTTGACAAATACAGTTGGTCTTGCCCCAACTGTATGAGAAAACAATCCATCAGGGATAATTCCTTTTTCTTGGGGATAAAATGTGATTTGAAAATGTGCCTTCAGTTGATACTAGGATGGTGTCAAAGAATTCCCTGCGAAATTACTGCTTCGTATCTAGGTATTTATGTACGAGTATTTCATAATTCAGACAGCCAAATGTACTGATTTTACATATTGTCTGCTGTAAATTTTGTCAGCAGAAATACGGCAAAATCTGCCAACTGATCGATGGCAAAAATTGTCTGAAAGGTTCTGTCGATAGAAAACAAGCTTTGTGCGAATGCCACAGTATTTTGATCAGCGGCATAATGCTAACATTTGCTTATTGCGTCAATATATGCTGTACAAATAGAATATTATCCAATCGCATTAACAAAATCTAAAGGATCTATTGTAATAATATTAAAATAATATTAAAATTCTCATAAATTTTACGTGATCATTATTTGTCAATTGAACGTTTTAATCGCCATGTTTATTCAACTTTTTCGTTTTCATCCTGATGTATACAATTAGCCTATCTTTTTTTTTTAATCACACAATATATATACCTCTCAAAAAAGGAAGGTTAACGTACCAACGGTTTGTGGTTGTAAATAGTTTGTAAACTTTTTTTCTTTCAATAACGTCATGTGATATTACAGTTATTTGAAAACAAAATTAATTTGAATAATTGTTTGTACTTTTTGATGGAAGGAACATATATTGGCTTACTTTTCTCTTAGAAAGCAGCGCACACAATGTAACATACGTTATTAATTCTAATTACCTACTCGTAATTGTTAGATGACGCGTGCGTTATATATCAGTTATGAGTAGAAAATTACAACAGGTGTTACATTGTGTTTGCTCGAAAGATATATGTGTGTGTGTGTGTGTGTCTGTGTGTGTGTATCAGTATTTGTATTATCATAGATGTCAAGAAACACGTAGTAAGAAAGATATACGAGCGGTGCGACGAAGTTTCCGCAGTCTACGTGAAAAAGCATCCGGAGGATTGGTTACTAGGTGGCGAAAGTGCAATATTGATAGTGGATGAATTTCCCAATGGCTATATGACAGAGCATCAACCAGATGTGAATTCTGCAAAGAAGCGCAATAATAACTCACACACCATCATATGTATCGCAGAAGTAAATACTATACCAACTCGCATATGGTTACATATGATTGAAGCAATATCAGAGGTAATTTCAACTCGTAAATAACGGATATTGCCGTGATCATCGCGCGAAAAATATTCTACGGATTGTCCGAATTGTACATACATATTTAATCGCAAAAGCAGCTGGGTTACCGATTACGCGTCTGATCGACTTGGCGGCGTATAGATGGCCCATAGATACACCATCTGCAAATTATGTGAGCGCGATATATATTAGCAAATATATTGTTTCAGTCGAGCAATTCGACATAATTTAATTCTAGTTTTTTACATGCTTGTGCTTCGCGCTCGGGCCAGTAATGATCTATCTGTACGATTAAACGTTCAATCGGTAATCTAGGGTAAAAAGCTACATCAGCCATTCGTATATGTCACATTTTGTAGCCACAAAAGATGGAGAAGCAACGAGCGGGATTAATAGACAGATGTAGCAACATGGTCGAAGAGGCTCTGAAGGAAATGGTGCGACACACGATACCAGGCAGTTACATAGTAGCTAATAATCGCGCGTGTTGTTGCAGTTACGAATCTTTGCGAAGCTTGAAGCAATATAAAGTTATCAGTGTAGAACAACTACAGAAATTCGATCCACCTGGTATGAGGAAACTTGTCGACAATCTTGGTAATTATTATTCTCCTCCTGAAATAACGTCCCTGTCTTTACTCGCATAATTGCTTTCTAAACGTTCCATTTCATATCACGATCAAGAGACGATCTGGCAAAGCGCCGTCGAAATCTGCGAGGAAGTTCAAGAAGCTACGCACACCTTAGGTCAACACATCATCGCCAGACATTTATGGAGACAGAAATTTGGTATGCCCCCTTCTACAGCGTTTCAATATATGCTGAATCATATCGCAGAAAAATATCGATTTTCTCAAGGTTAGAGATATAGAGACTCGATCGAGTCTTTTGCCATATCGTGATCACGTCGTACAAAGCGTCGTACAAAGCGTCTCACTTTTTAAAGATTGAAACGTTCGATGAGCGTGAGTGACCGAACGATCGACTGGAATATTGTACGTACGCGAATCCCACAAGTTGCCTTATTAAATATTTGCATGTTCGCAAAAGATGGATCGTTGTTGAATCGTCGTCGACGTACAATATGTGGGTCGTAATGTAATAATTACAAATATTACTATATTATCGAGTCTTCCAACTATATTATTGAGATATTCGTATTATATAAAACTTGTATAAAAGTATCAGTTGTGAGATTTCAACCGTACGGAGTGTCTGAGGAAAATACGCTAGAGCAAAATGGACACATTGTCGTCGGTGTTCGCAAAAAGCTGTACATGATGTGATTTTCAGTTTTACATCGACATATCAGAAGACACGAATCTATGACTTGATAGCCATTTCGGCTTTTAGATTTGACCTCCAAATATTATCGCAAAAATCATCCCGCGTATATCTTCTCTCTGCCATCTCTGAGTTACTATTGGTAAGAATATCGAAAGACTGAGATTAACGCCAAGACAGAATGTCGTTTCACACGATAAAAAAATTTAGCAATATTAGAAGATTGATATAAAATGATTGCAACAGCATATATATATATATATATGCGTATGTATGTTATACGTCGCTCTAGCGTCGTTACAGGTGAAATATTTTTATACGTTCATGTATAAAGCGATCGAATATATTGTATTTTTCATGCATGAACTTTGGTTAATTTGCTACATTGTTTCATCGTGGAATAATAAGAGAAATATATTTTGTACGTTTTTCTATATACGAGTAAGGGAACGAGTAATTTTTACAGCAAATAAACACACCCACACACACACACACACACACACAATACTGAAAATAAAAATATCAACATCGTATGATACACAAACAGAAGAATAGAGAGCGATTCATATGTTGACTTCGCTACGTAGATGTTACATATGATGTTGTAATTTCCATTTTCAATAGCGTGTTTTTTTTATACAAGTTTTTACTTTTTAAGAAATATTAATCATCGTGATCGTAACATATAATAAATTCCTCCGTATTGTTTGAAGTTTTTTTTTCCAGACGTTCCCAAATGTTGACATATGCACTAATTGAATGTGTAATATTACGTTTCATATATTTCATATGCATATTGTTTTTATTGGAGAGAACGTTCGTTTATATCGATACAACGTTACGTAAACACGTATTTTATTTCTACCGTTGGATGCAATCGTATAAGATATAGAATGGCCTGACAATCATGGCATGCGATATTTATATGTGATACAAAACATGAAACTTTCCGATGTTTGCGATAAAATGGAATAGTTATCGAAAAATCACAGTTAACAGTTAAGTAATTAATTTTATTCACTTATAAACCACTTTAATAAACAAATCGATATTCATCCTTACTCACCCCCCTTTAATCATTTTGACATATATGATCAAAATCATGATCCTAAGTAACACGCAATAAAGTTTCAGCCGTCGCCGTAGTTTGTTTAAATTATTAACGACAAAAAAGTTTGAAAAATATGATGTACCCTTACTTACCCCACCACGTCCTCGTTTTGCAAACAACCATGAAAAATTTCAAGTTATTAATTATTCAAAATGAATACCGACTCCTTTAATTAATAACTCAAAAACTTGCTTTATTTGTTACTTGTGTTATTTGCAAAATGGTTAAAAATTTTTTGTTTAAAGTAGTGTATACGACAACTGTTGTATCTAGCAACAGTATATTTTTAATCTGTCGCTAAATTCAATAGTAACAATAGCTGTGTATAATACTTGTAGATTAGGCAACTTCCCTCGTAGCATCGAATATTGCGGTAAGATTATAAGGAGGTTACAACTTTTAAGGCTCCTGGATAATCGCTATTTCTGTCCTTAGATGACGTCAGAAGCGAGAAAAATCATGCCAATCTATATGACAGTATATGTGGAAATAAAAGAATATACGCGCAAAATAACACGCGTAATCGCACATTTATAAAAATGTTTTTTTTCTTGGGAGATTCCCAAGGAATGATTCTAATTGACTACTTGAAAAAGGACAAAACAATAACAGAAGAGTATTATGCAACATTATTCGATCGTTTGAAAGAAGAGCTGAAAAATAAGCAGATTTATGCGCAAAAAGTATTCTTCCATTCTTCATATAGAATACATTTCAATGCTTCCATCACTGATATATTAAGTATATCTGGAATACATCAGAGGAACTCATTTGCACACAATTGTCTTCGATTGATTACTCTTTGTATATTGTTTCTTTTTTTATTAAGAACACGTTTTACAAAGCAAAATCTTACGACGGTGGAAGTGTTGAATGTTGGTGAAGCTGAAGACTACCGAGTTAGTGTTGGTTGATATATTTTAACGAGCTTCTGGAAAGGTGAGTGCGGATAAGGATATCGACACATTAATATAAAAAGTACTCTTTGAGTGACAGCGTGAATATTAGGCCGGCACATTCATTCGTCCATTCGTTCCTTCAACCATTCATTCGATCGATAGGTCGGTCAGTCTGTCGGTCGGTCGGTAAGTCGGTCGGTCCGTCAGTCGAACAGGCAGGCGGCAGATATTTTTCTATATACGCGCGAATACACTGCACTTTCATATGTAGTAGGCATTTGAAAGCTAAACTTTTTTTTTCTTTCTAGACGTAGTGAAAAATAGTGCAAAAAAAGATCACTGGTATTGTACAAATGTTTTATACAATATACACGCATTACCGCTTGACGCAATAAACGCAATAGCGCTATCTTCCTGTTAACGAATGCGCACACAGAGAAGAAACAATTTTCTATGTTGAAGTTGCGCGCGATTAACGTCATTAAGTAGCAGTTTCCGCGAGTCCTCGATTTAGTCGTTAAGTATCTCATGCACACACAGATGCAACTCGCATTTGCCTCGGACTCGTTGATCTCTAATAGTACAAGTGCACACGCCATAAATATATACTATAATTACAGATCAATTCCGAATGATCCGAATATTAACTACCTTTTCCTTTCGATGATTGTAACAAGAAGATAACAACGGAAGAGCGTATCGAGGAATATAGCAAAGATGGTAAACTCATATAACCAACCTATATAACGAAGTTGTGTGTGTGTGTGTGTGTGTGTGTGTGTGTGTGTGTGTGTGCGCGTGCGTGCGTGCGTGCGTGCGTGCGTGCGTGCGTGCGTGCGTGCGTGCGTGCGTGCGCGGGTTGTGTGTGTGTGCACATATTGAGAGAAATCCCTCTCCTACCCTCTTTCATATTCCCTCACACGCGCACGCGCATACACACCCATTCAAAAACTGTTATACGATATAGTCCAACGTAATAAGAAGCAGCAATTCCATATTATGAATAGATTTATCTATAAACTTCTGCTTGACAGTTAATTAATATTGATCCACAAAGTGAAATTAACACTTCTTTTGTGTGTGTGTGTGTGTGTGTGTGTGTGTGTGTGTGTGTGTGTGNGTGTGTGTGTGTGTGTGTGTGTGTGAATCATTTTATATATCGATCCGGAAACTACTACATTTTTACGAGAACAAAGTCTGCCACAACCATCGTTATTTGCAAATCGCGCGAATATGTTTGAATCTTATAAAATATTTACAAATGAGATCGATATTAAAAGAAATGAGCAATCACCTTTATATTTTTAATATTCTCTTGCGTGCATAGAGAAAGGCGCAGTTCCAAGATTTTACAACAAAAAGGTGTTATTGTACCACATCTTGCTCAGCCGATGGAAACGTTAACGTATTACAATATGATACTACTATAATAATAGTATATACTGGCAGACAAATAAGATAGTTTGGCAGGCATGGCGAACGTAAAATCAAATATATACATACGCGTGCGTGCGTGCGTGCGTGCGTGCGTGCGTGTGTGTGTGTGTGTGTAACACATAACCCAAACTTTTTCTTCTGTCTTTCTTAACATTCACTCACTCGCTTTCGTTCGTTCATTCGTTCTCTCTCTCTCTCTCTCTCTCTCGTTTTCTTTTTCTGCCGCTTCTCGCCCTCCATGATTATTTATTCCTATTTTCTATATATTCACGAAGTCCTATAATAATGTAATATAGGCTTTAGTACTCTATGACGTAAGCTAAACTAGAACTATACTACTGCGCCGTCTAAATACGACGTACAGTATCTTAATTAATATTAGGAATATCGGCAGTGAAATTCCAATGACAGACGCGGCAGGCAGGCAATCAGTCCGGCAAAATCTGTGGCACTTGCGCTGTTCCGGTGCGGATAAAACTGATTTCGGGGTGCCCCACGTGTTAATCTTTAACATTCATCCTTGACATGTACGACGCACGCAATGTCTACAAGAATAATGAATCAAGATTAGATGGAGAGAGGGGGGCACCCCACTGCTCGTACCGAGCAATTTCGCTTCTTTATTTCCACCATGGCACCTCCTTCGTCATCATATTCACCATCGCTCGACATCATTGTCTTATTCTATCTTTTCTTCGTTTGAAAAATAATTTCTTTGCGATACTTGGTGTGAAATATGTCCATCAACGATCACGGATCGCTAATGTGCCTTCGCTTATTCGATTTGATTAGAGTCAACAGAAATCGGTGACGAATTGTCCGAAACATAAAAATTACTAAGATTACAAATCACAAATGAAATCACAGACTTTCGTTGGTGGTTCGAATGGAGAGGGGTCGCACATTGCAATTAGAACAACATTGTAGGCATTGTCAGGAAAAGTTTGACAAGAGGCACAGAGAACTTGTTGCATTCCTCTCTGCTCTTCATTCCCATCCATTCTCCTTGATCATGTGGGCAAGTTCGATTATAAATTTCCCTTCCTTATATTTCTGACTCGACTCGAATGCGTGTTCCTAAAAATATCACATGAGACGATCAACGTTGTGAACTCTCTTTTGTACGAGTAATTAAGTCAACGGCTAACTAACGTATTTCCATCCTAAGGTGGTTTTGCAACATTCGCAATAGATATCGGCGACTGCGTGCAGCCCGGTCAATAGAACTCGCTCTTCCGCGGGACCACAGCCTACGTTCACCCTGAATAACATAAATATCATTTTTCAACATGTTCTCGTTGTGTATATGTGTGCGCACGCGCGCGCGCGCGCGCGCGTGTGTGTGTGTGTGTGTGTGTGTGTGTGTGTTCCAAAATACTTGACGCGCGCATTATTGAAAACAATTGGAACTATGGAATTTGCGTTTATTTCATATCGCGCGATACCGTATGCGACATCCATATTTTCGATAATGGATTCGTGTAAATCAAGTTCAAAAGAAAGTACAAGAATTTAGAAATTTTAACGAAATTTATCCGTTCATACAAATGCACAAGAAGAAATTTATTTAAAAAGAAAAAAGAAAAAAGACTGAGAAAGAAACTGTGCCTACCGCGATAATTTGTTATTACCGCGGTAATAACAATTTTTATCGAGGAAAAATGTTGACTTCAAGTCGAGCGAAGAATCGGTATTGTTGAAAAAAGAAAAAAAATGACGGCAGTTTTAAAGCAATTGTTATTATATAAAATATATATATATATATATATATATATATATATCTTTCGCATGCATATCGTGTCGGCATATGGTAGAGAACTTGTTCTATCTGACATTTTATATACTTTATATTTATATATCGTTCGATATACTTACACGGAATTAAAGAGATAGGCACGACCTTGACTGCCCTGGAAGGACTGAAATACCAAAAAAATACATAAAGTACCAAAGAAATACATTAAATTTCGTTGACGCATAGATTGAGACCCACACAGGAGCCTTGGCGTACTGATGATGAAAGAAAATATACGATACTCATCGTTGTTGGCTGATTGATGTACGCGCTCACCTTAGAAATGAGTTCGTCGTGATTGGCGAGATGAGCACGGCAGTGAATGCACGAGTAAGTGCGATGACAGGAAGGTAAATACGCTTGAAAAGTTTTGACCATGATGAATGGCGTATCCAAGCGGACGAGAGACACTGTCCTATCCTTTTGCCAAGAGCACGAGGATAGATCTCTTCCTTCGCCAAAATTTGCCTTTTATCCAGTGGAGTACACGAGACTGAAAGGATTTCACCGAAACGCGGGGTGGTGGTGCGATAGTGGCCCCGTTCACCGCCGCTTCGTACTCCGATCAGCTGTTGAGCTGGTTCAGACAGCGCCGGTTCGGGGACACCTGTAAAATGTGAGAACAAATTGATGCATCATTTCACATTTACAATTGCTTCGCGATCTTGACACACCATACACATGTTTCGTACGCGCGGAATCAAACGTACACACTTTTTTCTCGCGAATTCTTGAATTAACTGTAGACTAGAGTTGACTTCCCTCAAAAATTATATCATGGAAAACATCGGTCATTTTCAAGCTACGAGCGATTGAAAAGAAGAAAAATTCAGAAATCTTACTTTATCGAGGTATGCTGCTATTTTCAGGATATACCATGCCAACGATATATCGATCGTACGATTGTTGTACATACGTCGTGTGTATATGCACACGCATACATAATACATACATACCATGAGTACTTATTTACGTGCAATATACAGAAATAGATTACGGGGATTTAACACAAATGTACACTGATACACCAGAATTGCAGAACGGTTTCGTGTAATTTCGTTCCGTTGGCAAACAGATTTGTTATCCACTTTATTTACTTTTGTATGGAAAAAAAAGGGGGGAAGAAAAACGTCCGAGACAATGGGCCAACGCAGTGACAACCGTGTTGATGACGTTGAAAGCATATTGATACAACGTAACTTTCAAACGCAACAGCATCGACGCGTATTTCCGCGCGTATCGACTGCCGCCACGTGCTAGCGCGCGTTCAAACAAAGAGACAAGGCCGTTGTTATGAATCGTTAAAGGCTTTTTCCGTATATGGACGCATTTACTCCGCGTCGTCCTTCTTTGGCACGGATGTAGCAAACGTTGTTTCATAAATCACACATTCTTGCGAGATTCTCACTAATCGATCGGTCGCAACCTGTGACATCGTCTCTTGCTCCTTCGAAACATCTCGTACGAAATTTAATACGTAAGACGAACATACTAAAATTGAAAATCGCACCAGACGCAGCATAGATACACCGAGTGTAGCGGACAAAATTTCGGACAAAGTATCCCAAAAAAAAAAGAGAGAGGGGAAAGAGAGGAAATGCAACTGACTCGCGAAGAAGAAAACGCGCATGGGGGAACGAGTTTCCTAACGGATCGCCGAGAACAAAGAGAGACGGGACTTTAGCGAGTCGATACATTGCTCAGGGTCATTGCTACTCGTTGGAAATATATCCGCTTCTCTTTTATTCCGTCCGCGCGAGTACGCACGACAGCCGGCTTCGTTAAGTTTTCAGTCAAGACTTCGTCCGCGGACAGACGTCGCGGGACGTTGCTTCATAACACAAAGATGCACGTAAGAATCGTTTATCCTACTTCTGTACAACACAGAACGTCGCGAAATTATTGACTGAAACTTCGTTGCTATGTAATATTCATGAGAAAAAGATGAGCAATTTATAGATCGCTCGAGCGATCAAAGAGCGACGAAAGGGGAACAACTCGTTATGAATCGAACTCACGATTCTTTGTTTAGCCTCATTGAAACGCAAGCGGCAGGAGAGCGCGTAAAGAGAGCACAAATTTTTCTGTCCGATTATATAGACACGCGCGTATGTTGCGCAGAGTAAGACGAATGTCTCGCGCAGTGTCTGCGTCGCTCAGTGTTCGAGACACAGTTTTTCGTGGACGAAACCTGAGTGTATGAAAGATATATTTAAAGAATGAAGAGGGCGGAAAAACTAATTGTCGTCATCGTCAAGCAGTCCTTTTTTCCACGATACAAATGACGATCCAAATTTGAGGATAAAATTTGAAAAAGCAATTTAATTCAAAAGCAAATTCTGAACTTTGATTAACAAATTCATCCATTTGAAACAAATGGAAGTTTACTCAAAATTTTATCGCACGTTTTGCCCAAACTGCTTGGCAATATGCAAATAAACTTTTACGCTTGCGCTGCGTGTCTGATCGCCGGCGTCTCAATATGGATTTATTCTCCGTTGAATTTCATCCACTTGTTGCGGCTTTAATACAAAGATACAAATTGTCGCAACTTTGATATTTTTTGAAAAACGGTGCAACGATGTTTTTATCTCATTTTATAAATCTTCTACATCGGATAATTGCTCTTAATCTTTGTAAGTTAACGATCTGTGCATTGATGACCATTGTCTCGTTTCAACCCCATCATTAATTACAACATGTTTACCGTGAAAAACCGTTATCTTAAATATTCTTCTAATGTATTTTTGACGTAATTTTCCCCTATAAGATATAAACATATCTACAGGCCTGTTGGAGAAACGAGCGAGCGAAGGCTTGACAGTCGAAGGCCATGGTAAGAGGCAAAGCCCCTTTAGTTATTTATAAACCGTCTTCTATGCGAGAGTTTACACGAGTCGTAACCCTTCACCCCGCTCATCAACGATGCGAACGGAGCTCGTCTGAAGATCGAATAGCGGCAGCCATTGCCCTCCTTGCGACTCGTAACGCACTGATTATGGCGTGAGCTGTAGGCGGGGAAGAAAAGTTCAATCGTAAAGAGGCGAGAAAATTGCGCGTATCGCTGCGCGCGATGCTGTCGTGCACAGTCAGCTGATAGTCCAGTCAGCTGTAAATGTACACAAAACCGTCGTCCAACAGGTTTACGCGTACACTACATTCGATCGACGAGCTGTGTATTAAAAAGAACACCATAACGCTTTTATACACGTTGGCTCGACGGATCGGAAACCAAAGTCAACTTTTCGTCATACGACAAAACTAGCATGGATGTGCAACTTAGCAGACATTGAAAGAGAGAGAGAGAGAGAGAGAGAGAGAAGCAAGCGCGGTAGACTGGCGCTGTGAGTGTAGTCAATTCGGGTCATCGTTCTTTATCGCGTACACTTTGGTTTTCTCTATGGCCCGTCCGTAGAATATGGTTGTCGAATTATTCCTGAAAGATAAAAAATCGGAATGGAAAGTTTGCACAGTAGCAGCTGATATTTCTGAGAAAAGTGTTGAAAAATGCCTTTTTATCGAGATTAGATAGTTTCGATGCTTTCAAAATGCGACGGTCGATGAATTGGTTGCAAACCAATATGCATGCAAAACAACCCATTATTCCCTGCGACGTTTTGATGAACGTACAGTCGCGGACACAGAAAACTTGCAACGCTTTTTTTTTCGATTCGAAGAAGATAATGTATCTCCCGAGAACAACAAATTCTCCTTTCTACTTGACACGAGATGTGTGTTTCCAAAACAAAAAGTGTTGCGATCTTTCTGTGCCGTCACACGTGTGAATGTCTGCAAAAACTTGTCACACTCGTGAGAAAAATAAATAGCGAATATACTGATTATTGCGTTCCACCGGAATCGTGGAACAATAATCAAACTTGATGCAAAATATATACTTATGGAAATGAATAATTGGCTGTGAAAGAATGCAGAGCCAACAAATTGTGAGAGATCTGATAAAAACAGTTCGTTGAAAAATCGTTACAATTTTATCCGCGATAGGAAAGAACAATAATACGTCAATCACTCATTATATTCGTTGTTTACAAAAACAGAGGAGTATGAGCGAGAGAGATGAAGAAGGTTGGACGAAGTGAGGTTAGTTGGAAACAAAGTCGGCTGACTAGGGGGTGAGTGAGATGCGACGTGAGGTCGGGTGAAGTGAGGCGAGGCTTAGCGAAACGGGACGGAGGAGATGGGACGAGACTAGACCGGGTTAGGCTAGGCTAGGACGAAGCGATGGCGGGGCGAAGGCGCGGTAAGGTGAGCCGAGGTGAGGCGGGGCATGGCGTACGGAGGCAGCTGACAGACTCCGTCAGCTGAGAACGCATACACAAACACAATCCTTGCGCACCCGTGAACTTAATCGTGCGTACATTCAATGCGCAACAGCTATCGCCCTGTGCGAAAAAATGTCATTCGCCGAACTTGACAAAAACGGAGATATTGATGCGTAGTTGAACGGAGACAAGTATGGAGTACGCGGCGATTCTGGCTGCGCTTTATATTCACAGCGTCGACGTAGGATGGCTGAACAATTGCACAGAGATTCGCAAGCGTGGATCGCGCAGCATTGTTCCGAAACACTTTCACAACTGTCACGGCTGGCAGAGAATCATCGTTAAATTCGACAAAGACGCGTACGGTACGGGAGTAGAAGGAGGATGCGTCGAGACGAGCGTTGTACGCACCTCCATATGCATCCGTGACCGCGGCAGCGAACGACGACGCAGCTTCTTTTCTCTACCTTGCAACTCGGTGCTCGAAGCACGGATTACGGATCACGGTTGTTTCGTCTTCGCACAGTGCCACGAACAACAATGAGAATGACGACAACGGTTCGTTTTGATCATCACTAACGCGGAACGCTCACGTTCAGCAAATACCGTACTGCTGATCGGCTCAGCGTCGTTCGATTTATTTCGGTTCCAGCAGGCAAGATGATAACTCGTGCGCACGCGCCGAATCGCGCGATCCGATTTCGGACATCGCCGTTAGAGTGCGCGAACGTCCTGATTCACCAACGAGCAATAATGCCGATGGCGGCACTGGCTGTTTATCGATAGGATAACGGGAGAATATTATCGACCGATCTGAAGCATCCTTTCGAAATTCAATCGTCTTACACGAGCAATCGTTGCTCGCGCGAGACATTTCCGAAGAAATCCATTGTTGCAAGAAATTTACTCGCGTAACGGACGCGAGACTTTCTTATCCAGACCGCTTATCCGCGATGTCGTTTCAAGAAGAGTAATTTGAAGCATATTCCGCGCTGCTTTTTCCTTCTTCTCCCTCTCCTCTCTTGTACGTACCTATCCGTTATTTTTACTTGTGTCGACTCTCGTGAGAATATACAGATATAATGTCTGCGTATATGGGATGAAACACTCGACGTTTCAAAATGCAAAACGACAAAAAAGAATCAATTTATGCACGCGGTCTCTCTCGACGACGTACGAAACGCAAAAATAATCCATTTTATTTGTTACACTCTAACAAATCTTCGTCCAACGGTATAAAAAATTTTAATCTAACACCTTGTATGTACAATTTGCGCACGTGCGTATCTTCCGATTATTTTGTAACATAATAATTGAGCGATATTTACAGCCATGGCTCGATCTAACATCATATCTTGGATTAACGTGCTGTTGGGGGTTGTTTCATTGGCCACGTAGCGTCTCTTAGGATGACATCGAAATGATCCTTGATATAAGATCGAACTATTGATACCGCCCATTTAAACAACCGAATATACTATGCGATCCATGCGATATATATATATATATATATATATATATATATAAGGCTTGCTCTTACTTACATGCCGCTGTAGCGCCCAAGAATTTGCAACGTAAAATTATTTGACAAATTCGGAAAACTGAAGTAGATCGAAACAATTTGTCTCTCGGTACTAGAGAGAGAATAAAATATTATGGTGAATACTCTTACTATGATGAGAAAGAAAGCCAGAGAAGAGCTAATAATGTGAAAATTTTCGCAATTTCTTCAACAAACCGATTTGTTCTTTATGCCGCTCTTCGGAAGAAAAGACGGATTAAAACTATGTAGGAAACCTTTATTCGTATTTCATCTGGCTTTTTTGCTATTCTATTAGCTAATACATTTCTGCTGACAAAAATTAAACTTATATACTTTACTAGAAGAGCCCGCTAAGTAATTTTACGCAACTGCACGAACGCGACGCGTGCACACTTTGTCATCATAGAGAAAACGTTTCAACGGATAAGTAAGCGCGTATAAAGCTTCTGCAATCCTAGCAACGCGAAGAAATGATACGCGTATAAAAAGATGAATACATTGTACGGAGTGTAACTTTTGCAACATCTTTTTGAAAACATCCCTTCCATACACATGTTCGTGCATGTTCGTCGATACAAATCGCTTTAATCCTCTTCGCGGGAAACATTTACATCCATTTAATGATATCAAGATCTTATAAAACCGGACTTTCTTACGTATTTCTAAAATTTAACCAACGATTGCGGCTCGTTCAACGCAAAAATAAATCACGTGGTGCTATGATGTCTTCGACAGATCTAAGCTTTTAAAATGCTTTATAAATGCGCAATGTCTGCCACCCTCTCCCTCTTCACTGCGAATCCTCTCTGCAGAATCTCCTTTCCACCATACACCACAATACGTCCCCTCTCCTCCCTCTCTCTCTCTCTCTCTCTCTCTTTCTCTCTCAATCATTGTTGCACAAAATACATTGAGAAGGATTACGAACGAAAGCAGCGATACACGGCGGACTTGTTTTTTTTCTTTTTCTTCTTTATCTTGATTTATTCAATATACGTTTTCTTATAAAGTGATGTCCTACTGAATAAAAGTAAACGATCACCAAAGAAAGAAAAACAATAGTTAATATGTTCATTAAAATTCTTCTTCTTGTTAAGGCAACTAATTTGTTTAGTCTCATTTTACATGTCTAGAGTAAATATATATATTTTTTGTATGTATATATATATATATATATATATATATAT